AGGCGCAGGATCGTGCGCATCGTATTGGTCAGCGCAATGAGGTGCGCGTACTACGTTTGATGACAGTCAATTCGGTGGAGGAGCGTATCTTAGCTGCTGCGCGTTATAAGTTGAATATGGACGAGAAAGTTATTCAGGCCGGTATGTTCGATCAGAAATCGACGGGTAGTGAACGTCAACAATTCTTGCAAACGATTTTGCATCAGGATGACAATGAGGAGGAGGAAGAAAATGAGGTGCCCGATGATGAGGTTATTAATATGATGATAGCACGTAGTGAAGATGAGATAGAATTATTCAAGAAAATGGATATTGATCGCAAGAAGGAGGATGAAGAATTACATCCAGGAAGAGAGCGTTTAATTGATGAATCTGAGTTACCCGATTGGTTGACGAAGGACGACGATGAAGTCGAGCGTTGGCATCAATACGATGAGGACACCATTTTAGGTGAGTTTCGCATATCAATTCGTATATAAACCGATTCAAATGTGATGAAATTAAGGAGTTTCAATTGGCTTTCATTAATTTTTTAGGTTATAAGCGAAATATCTTTTAATTTCGAAAGTAATTTAGTTTAGCATTGCATTTTAACATAAATTCGTTTCAAAATTAAGTTCAAACTTAAAAAAGAGTATAATTTATACATGTACTTGATGGAGATTTCGAAGTTAAATTCGAATAAAATATCGAAGTATTTAAATTCGCACTTAATTATGAATTCGAACATATTCGAAGTTAATTTCGAAGTAGAATTTCATTAAAATTCTAATTTAAATTTTAATTCTGTTTAAAATTTTTTCGTATTTGAAAATTTCGAATCAGATATCGAATTTGCTTTAAAATTCGTACTTAATGTCGAATTCGAATTTAAGTGGTACAAAATATCGTAATTAAGTCTAAATTTGCACTTAACACGATTCGAACATATTATTGAAGTCGAATTTGAATCGTATTATCTTAATTTTCTGTTATATTAGCATATTGATAAAAAGCGAAATTTGTTTTCATTTCTGTATTAATTATATTTTGTAATGAATTTCATTGCATTTTAATTTCGAATTTCGAACTTTATATGGAAAACGAATTAATCATTGACCTTTACTTTAAATTCGTACTTAATGCCAAGTTCGAATATAAGTTGGTACAAAATATCGAAATTAAGCCTAGGTTCACACTTAATACTGAATTCGAACATATTTTAAAACTCGAATTTAATTTAAAATTAGAATTTCATTTAATTAACTTAAATGCGATATAAGTTTTTCGAATTCAATTTCGAATTCGAATTTCATAAATCTTCCACTATAAATTTCAATTCTGTTTCGAATGTTTTCCGAGAATTTTTTTATTTAAAATATTATTTCCCTTTTACAGGTCGTGGTTCTCGTCAACGCAAAGAGGTTGACTACACGGACAGCCTCACAGAAAAAGAATGGCTCAAAGCCATTGATGATGGTGCTGAATTCGAAGAGGAGGAGGATGAAGACGATGCTAAGCGTAAGCGTCGTAAACGTAAAAATCGCAAAGATGAATCCGATGAAGATGAGTTAATTATGAAGCGGCGTCGGCGTCAAAATATCGATAAACGCCTCAAAAAGCAAATGAATAAGATAATGTCAGCCGTTATTAAATATACCAATGACGATGGGCGTGTTCTCTCTGAACCGTTTATGAAGCTACCATCACGTCAGCGTCTACCCGACTATTATGAAGTCATAAAACGACCTGTGGATATTAAGAAGATCTTACAACGCATTGAAGATTGCAAATACGGTGACATCAATGAGCTGGAGAAGGACTTTGTACAGCTATGTCAAAATGCACAAATCTACAATGAGGAAGCTTCGCTCATCTACCTAGATTCCATTGAACTACAGAAGGTATTCGTTAGTGCACGTGCACGTGTAACGGCTGCAGCAGCAGCTGCTGCATCAGCAACCGCCGCAGCTGGAAATGAGTCTACAAGCGGTGGCGGCGGTGGCGGTGGCACTGCAGCTGGCTCAGAGGCTTCAGACAATGAAGAGGAAGAAGTTGGCGATGATGCTTCGGAAGATGAGGAAATTGCCACCACATCCACATCGGCGGTGAAGATGAAATTGAAACTAAACAAATCATTAGCTGCCGCACCATCCACGCCTATACAGGCAGCACCAGTGAGCACTGCTGCGGCTACCACCTCCAAAAAGCAAACGCGCCGCAAACGTTCACAAAAAAAGTATACAATTTTCGATGATGATGATGACGACATAGATTAGCTGCCATTGGGCGTAGTTTTTGCGCTTAGCACACAACAGGATTGTGTGGGCGGGGGAGGTGGTGTGAAGGCAAAGGCGAAGGCGTCGAATTCGAAAGCTAGACGAGTACAGAAGAATTTGGCGCATGATGAATACGATGGTGACGTTGATAATGACGAGTAAGCAGCATTAAAGTTGGAATATTTCGTTTGAAATTTGTACAATTTGGCTTTCAACAAAATTTTCTTCTCATAAACATTTCGTAATGGCTTCAAAGGCTAATAAACATAATAATTATTTAATAAATAGTCTTATACCACATTAGTTCTTTAGCGGAAAACGGGATTTTATTAATGTGCCGCCTTTTGCGTTTTTTGAGTTATCATAATAAATTAAGTTATTATGCTATTCTCCTTCAATTACTTACTTTGCAGATTATCGATATTGTAGTTTTTACACAGCACAATTTTTATTAATTACATATATTATATTTAACAATTTCTTTCTGCTATCTTAAACATAAACATGTATTGCAAATGCATAAGTACTATGATTGAGTGCGTCAGCGCAATGGAATTATAAATAAAATTAATAACAAATCAATATTGACTTGTTTCATTTTGAGAACGAAGTATGAGAGTTAGGCCAAAGTAAAACAAGAAAAAAGTTAAACTCGTTTGCTACGAAGCTATAATATCCAATATATTTAACTTGATTTGGGACGGTTATGTGGTATAACGATTTCAACAAATTGTTACAATTTTTTGGCCGATTATATTATTGCTTTGCACAATGATATGTGCAAAATTTCGTGAAGATAACTGTCAAATAAGAAAGTTTTTCATATAAGGACATGGTTTTGATCGCTGTTGTTGTTATTGTAGCGGCAGAAAACATTTCTGAAGTAATTTCGAGGTATGGTGCCGAGTTGACAGTACTTGGCCGGTTAAAAATCCGGGTCCGTGCCGGTTACTTAGACCCAACTGTTTATAGGAACGACAGTTTGTATAACATAGTGGAATTTCAGATCAATGTCTCAAAAACTGAGCGATTAGTCTAGTAGCGTATATACTGACAGGCGGTCATGACTTAAATCAGGGTCTCAATCGCTGCGATAGTATGGCAAGGCAACATATTTGACACAAACATGTTGCAGTATAAGTAGTGTCACAATATTGGTTACTGCTTGCTCGAACATTACGCTTGTCACGCTAATAATGTTTATATGACTTTTATAGGTTTTTTGATGCTTCTGTTACAAACTTCGTGGCAAGCTTAATGTACCATTTTCAGGGTGTATAAATATATGGTGGTCGAATTGTTGTAGGATTACCTAAGTCATGCCTGATGTAACAGCATGTTCCCAAAAATTATATATGAGCCGTTCAATGCACATATCGTTTATTGAAAATTGTTCTATGCCGCTAATATAAAGCGGCTATTAAATAATTACGAAAATTATTTTATAACCGAATTTACAACATTCATTTTTATAGAAGAGCTGTGATAAAAATGTATAATAACTAAATTTTTATGTAATAAAAACTTAAAAATGAAAAGACTAAATTTAACTTTATTACTTTTTTCAGTTGCCAAATCGTTTAACTCCATCAGTCACATAAAAACTGTAACATTACTGACGATTATTTGTTGGCTACTCTTTCTTATTAATTTTATGTACCGTTAGATGAAAGCTATATCTGCAATTATGGATTCTACATTATATACTTGAATTCATATCATCAGAGGAATTTTTAAAAACAATATACATTGCATCATCGTGTTTCTCAACTTTTCGTTTTATGGAGTTAATCGATGTGTGCACTGAGCGGCTCATATATAATACTATATCTATCTTGATTAATTTTAGGTGATACATACAACCGTTAGGTGAACAAAACTATAATGCAAGAGTATAAAAAGCGACCTTTTTTGTAGGACCACCATTTTTCTACAAGACTTTGAAATATTTTAGAAGGGTCTATCAATGAAATTTTGGGTAAAATAGAGCTTTTTTTTTTAAAAACGGCGGCATTTTCTTCAAAGAGTTGTTACTGTGTACTCATACAATTTTAAAATTTTAAATTTTTTTAAACAATTCGTACCGTCGTTTTTTTTTTTAATTCCCAAAAATTGTTTGTTTTTTTGCTGTCACATTAAGTGTGTCCCTTAAAGCATGATATCGGCTAAGATTGTTGACGGAATTGGATTTTTGGAATTTTTTAACACAGAAGGCCCTTCTATCTTATAATTGTTTGTCTTATCAGCTTAGCCGTAAAATTTTGCACATAATTGAAATAAGAGGAAAAAGAGCATAATCCCTATTATTTATTTTTCTTGTAACTTAAATATTATATTTAATAATTTCAATATGCGCAATTTTGAAATTCAAAATAAATTTTTTTGATATTTTATGTTAGGTTATGGATCAATTGGTAAATCTGGCTTGTTCGAATGATCAGAAATAAAGCCGATTTTGTTACATAGTGTAATTTATATTTATTATGGCTTTATTGAATTGGAAAATTTGCTTTAATTAATCCCAGCGCGTTGACTAAAGTTAAGTGAATGTAAAAATTAAGTAATTCCCATTTGTTCATAGCAAAATATTTAAATTGCAAAAATTTCACGATTGCGACTGTTTTGTCTTTTTTTTTATAAAATAAAGAAGTCAAATGATAAGAAATTTCCCGAAAAAAAACAAATTTTGTGACATTGTATTAAAAGTAACTTTTTATAGTATTCTTGCTTGTGTACAGGGTATAAAAACTATTTTAATAAATTTATTTATTTATAAAGAGCACTTAAAACATCGTTAATTAATAAACTAAAGTAAACAAATTAGTGTTCTAATTGTGCATTAGCTGAGATTAGCAAATTTCTATTGAACACAGTCGATAATTAAACTCAGAATAGAGTTATATGTATACAAACAATTAGTGCATCTCTCAAAGAAATGCAGTTACTATATATACAATTTTACAATTAAGCTTATATATACACATACTTAACTACTTAACATGTACTTAAGTCAAGCGCAAACAATGTGACATGTGTTTTAGCACGGTTTTGTTTATAAAACAATTGAACACGCAGCGAACAAAAACAAAAGAGTCAAAAAAAAAAAATAAAAAGTAATAAAGCGACTTAGAAATGTCAGTAAAGTATGTAAGTATGATGCCAAAATGTATTAATTTGGCTCAAATGCTACGCGCGTAAAGAGTTAAGTGTTATTAAGTTAAGTCGGAGGATTTATCTAACTAGAAATGCTTGTAAACAGTTGTAAATCATTAAGTTAAATAAAATAAATGCCATGTGACGGTTTGATGGTAACACATTCATAATTTTAGTACACAAATTAAATCTAAAAAAATATGGCAATGGAAAATTTTAAGCACGAATATACAACTGTTATTTCGCGCTAAAAAGCTTATAATTAAATTTACAAATACTAATTGCGCTACAAATTTCGTAACCATAAACCTTTGTAAATGCTTAAATGGGTAAACGGAAATTTATAATGGGAATTTGTTAATTGTTTTTCTTAGCTAAAGTCTTAGTCTTTTGCTGTTTGACTGGACGCTTAAAATAGGAAATGAAAGTATTCATCGAAAAATTCGCTCGGATGCAAATCATCATCCTTTTCTGGGCTGCAACGCATCGCTATTTTGTGCGCATTTGAGTAGAGATCATCTATGTCAAAGTCATCATCTGTAAAACAAGAGAAAAAGAAAAGTTAAAATAATGAATAAATACTTAAAATGGAATTTAAAGTATATGTGGTAACCGTGACCTTAGGTCTATTGTGCCCTCTTTTAAATAACAAAGACTCACCTAGCCCCAGCATAATGATAAAGACCAATATACTGCTAGGTGCTAGTGAGCCGGTGTGACCATTGTTTGTTAACATGGTTCCCATGCGTCTGTAGACTGCTATGCAGTCAATTAGCAGGTGTTCTGCAGTATCAGACTCTCTGTCACATTATAGTAATATATTCATAAGTTAAAGTAAATCTTAGAACATTAACAATATCTGCAATATATGCACTTTTATAGATGTTCCTGTTGTAACAATAGCTATGTATGTATATCAAGAAATGTGTTTAATTAGAAGCTACGGTAACAGTTTTTGACAGGAACTGAATTCAATGAAATACGCTAAGGAAAATTGAGTGTCTATCGGCGGAAATTTCCACTTGTAATAATATTTATACCCTGAACAGGCTATTATAAACTTGTCAATAAGTTTGTAGCACCAAGAAGAAAACGTCGAAGATCCCATAGAGTATATATGTATATAAATGATTAGCGTGGCAATCTGAGTCGTTTTAGACTTGATTGTGTGCCTCTTTGTATATACGCGAAGTAGTGCCTCAGTTTTTGAGATATCGTTTTGAAAATATTCACAAGTTTTTTATTCTCCTTAAAGAGCTGCTCATTTTTTGGAACCGCCGACATCGGAGCTCTATAGCATCCAAACAAGGTTAGATCGATTAGCATTTGCAGACGACGAGCTCGAGTTGCCGCGAAAATCGAGAATGACCTTTGCGCAGCTTTGTTCTGGATACTGCATAGCAGGTTGAACTCCTATTTATCCCGAATCGATGCGCACATATCAAATATATGTTCAGCATGCAACGAGCCATGACACTAATCAACTCTTCGCATACCCAGTTAACCCTACACATCTGACACCCCTCACCCTTGGTCCGACCGACTGTTTCGACGAGCCTACCGTTGGATGACCGCGATGACAACTTATCTGAACCTTACCACCCAAACGGGGACAGTTACAAGTATTGTATGGAAAACTTTTTTATTTGACGAGATGTCTTTACTAAATTTGAGGGAAATGATTGTCCAAGGCAACACTATAATATGAGTAAATACTGTTCAGATCGGACTACTATAGTATATAGCAGCCAAAGAAACTGACTAAACGAAAGAAAGAAGCAAATCACTTTATACCTTTTTACGTTATAAAATTGCAACTGTGAAATGTATTAATGCTGCGATGCAGCTAAGATTGAACGTTTTCTTTGTTTTAACATAAATATATAAAGTTCAGATCCTCGTATTTAAAAAGTTTAGTCACATCCCTCAATTGTGGCAAATGTATACTTTAAATATGCAAACTAAGCGATAATCCTATCAAATTTTTTTTTTTTTAAACATATCATTCTAATCGCTGGGAAATTGCTGATCTGGACTTATATTTGCGAAAAAAAATTATATCAAAATTGTATGACAGCGAACCTTTATATTTCTGCTTCCTGCTCAGTCTCGACTTCGATAGCACCGCCTCATCGGCAATATCCAATTCGCTAGCCGCATTGCGACGTGAATAACGCACCGGCGGCGTTAGGAACCAATAATCATTCAATATGCCACGAAAACCGGGCATCTGACGTAGTAACTGCAAATCTTTCGGCTGCTTGGAGAGCGCTTTAAAAGCGCGCAATTGCAGACAATCCGCTTGCGAGGTGGAATTTATTAAACGCACCACTGACTTGGCGGCTGTCGAACAGACCATAGCATAGAGTTTGACTTCTGGATCTAACGGTATATTCGTATAGGCCACACCCAATGCACGACGATTCAAATAGAATTCCAATGTGCCACGCGCACGATCCAGACAAATGCCCACAATACAACCCTGTGAGAATTTCAGGCCATACGGCAATTGTACGCCGTTATGTTGTATTTTGCCATTGTAGGAAAAACCCCAGGATTGTGCATTTGTGCCGAGCGCCGAAACGAAATGATACTGGAATTGATTGAGTTCAACTTTATCAGTGCCAATACCGAACATCTGCAAGGAATGGAGGAGAATACAAAAATAAATATAAACTAATTTTTATTTGTTAATGAACACAAATTAATGTATAGTATGTTGCAGATAAGCAACAATAAATATATATTTTTTATTTGTTATGTATATATATAATAATTACTTTTTACATTTGTAAATCAATAAGTGAGCTTAGTAACTAAAGAAAATCGTGCAATTTCAATATATTTGCTAATTTTTGGCCTTTTTGTTCAAGTTCAGCGCATGGCTTATCGGCCCGTGTGCGCTGCGCAGGCAAACAGAAGCTTACAATGCACAAATATTCTAAAAAAAATTACTACTGTGAATGAATAGTATGCGAAATAATAAAAATTTTAATAATCATAGCGTATAATATATAATATATATGTAAATATATATATGTATATAATAAAATGGTACGTGCCAGTGCTCCACGTCTGCACCTATACTTTATCTTTTATACTTTAAATTTCATCCGAGCTAATTAGTTGCTGTTGCTGATAAGATAATGTAAAGTATAAGTGCAAATAATTATAAATCCATGGGAATTATACCGACACAAGATGCTACTCTATCTAATGTACCGCCATTAAGTTCCAAAAAACAAAACGCAATTGAATGAAATACATAAACTTCACATACTATATATGCAACTATAAATGTTATATTTACCCAGTTATCTAAAGATATTTATGACATTGTTTATTAAAACTATGGTACATTAATTCTATAAGAATAACCATATTAACATTTTGTGCCTATCTGGTCCAATATGGTAAATTTCATTTTGTGTGTTTTTTGTAACAAAAAATATATATGTAATGCCAAAAATAAACTATACAATAACCTAAAAATCAGCGTTGCTAATTTTTAATTAGAAGGGATTAAAAATTCAATATTTATTTGAAAAATCAGAACTAAAAATTAATAATTTCATTTAAACGTCTCAATATTAGAATAAATAACTGTTAAATTGTGGAAATCACAAAATTGAACGTGTAAGTTTGCCGAAGATGAGGAACGCATTAACGAAAAAAAAATTTAAATTCAAAAACATTTTATTTGGTTCACTCTCAATTATAAATGTGGGAGTATCATATTATTTTCTCAGTCCGATACGAGTTTTCCACAGCCTTGAGAACTTGTGCACTTGTATCCAACTTTTATTATCACTCAAAACTATAATTTCATTTTTATATGAGAAAAAAATTGAAAAAGTTGAAAAAAATGCTGTTTTTTACCCGAGGAAACCCATGCAGAACCTTGAATCGGTATTTGGAATTAGACTTTTAAAATTATTTTTAATTAAAATTTTTTGGGGCTACAAAACAAAAACAAAATTAAATGTTAATACAAATTTACTGCATTGTTTGCATGCTTGCTTTGAACATTTTCCAAAACCAAAGTAGCATTAAAAAATTAGTACATACATACATACATACATATACATATTTTTGTACTTATATAAAAATCAGTTAATTTTAAAATAAATTGACATTTTAAGCAGTTTGGGCACGTTGCAGCACAAATTTGTATGTACCTCTTTAGTATGCAAGACAAGAACACTTAAACCTAGCAGCTTTGTAATGACGCAAATTTAACTGAAGCTTGAATTAACGCCGTAGTTAGCAGAAACAATATGTAGTCCAATTAATTAGCAAATATTAAGCAAATAATATCGACAAATCTAACAAGCATTTGTTACTGATTTAGTAATGTTTGTATGTTTGTATGTACATATGCATTTATTTATTTATGTAATTATGTATTTACGTATGTAAATAAAGAGTTTTACTCTCCGAATTCAAGATTAATATAGAAATCTTCTATATATTTAAACAAATAGGCAAATATACAAAAGCAACAGCTAATTTATTTCATATATACTTATATATACCTATACTTATATAATATATACAACCAAAGTATATTATATATATAAATTGTATATGCATGTACATATGCAAAGTCATTGCGCTATTCTTCCTCAATTAATATTCAAATAAACTCCAACGGTGCCAATTTTTACAAATTAGGCCATTGTAAGATAAATGGTCACATGCAGCCGATCTTCGCTGTTGTTGTTGTTGCTGTAGCCGACGTTCTGACAGACCTTTATAGTGGCTTTAGGACCATATTTCACATTTCGCCTAACATATTTAATCGTACGTCACAATTCTTTAAATTAAAAGCAATTGACTGTCTTCAATCAATTGCCAACAACAATGCATGAGTGCATTTGTGAATATTTCTCAACTCAAGTTTAGGTAAATAACTAACCATGCGATGGAATTGTGATAGAAATCAAAGTGGAGCAAAAAAAATAAATACATAGTTTGTAAGTTCTCACAAATATGTATATAACGAATATTCGAATGAAATTTGAAGGCGATCTAGCAAATATTTGGGAGACATGAGGGAATTTGTAAGAATTTTTTAACTAGTGTAATCGGTTACAAAACTTTAAACGCATTAGTCTTTCGAAACGCTGTTGACACAGTCAGTAAGAAAGATTTCTTCGGATCGGCTGGATCTACCGACTTGAAATTGTACTCAAAGAAATAATTTGTTTGACAATAATAACGATTTTTATGCGATTTTTAAGTGTAAGTTTTCTCACGTCTTTTTGGTATTGGGTTTTCGATATTTTTTAGTAGAAAAACCATCTTCACTAGCAGGGCCCTGATTTTTCGAAAGTCTTCCTGGAGATCGGCTACGGTATCAAGGGAATATTTTTAAAATGAATTACTGAGTAAATAAATAAATTAAATACAATGCTTTTTCAAAAATATTTCACAAAAGAAAGATGGATATAACAATTTAATTAAACGTAATTTTTCTTTTAAAGAAAAGCCTATATGTCATATACTTTTGTATGCAGGATATCAGAAAAACTGGTACAATATGTACATGACATACATATTTAATCGAACTATGTATATCACATATAAGTATATCTCGAATTTTTCATAAATGTCTCGTTTATTGTTAATCTATTGGTTGTTGTTGCGACACTATTAATCAGAGAAGTTAGACTTATTCTCTTCTCCAAATGAATTATACATATCTACACATATGAATATTTCATAGCCATTGAAAAAGCTTGTAATTGGAGCAAATTCATTTGTTATTGTTTTTGTGAAAATATTAGTCACAAAAGTTAGACTTATTCTCTTCTTCCATTTACTTTAATATTACTTTTAGCCTTTCTATCGCAATGTTTGAGTACATTTCGCTAAATTTGTATACGAAAGCAGTAAGCATTAAGCGCAGCAGTATGCTTGATTCTAATCTGATAATGCAAGATACAAAAACACCTACAATAAAATTTCACTATTGCATTTGTTGCAATGCAAGTTGGGCATGAAAGGAAATGAGACGATGTATATGGAGACATTATGCACTTTGAATGAGGTTGTTAGGTGTCATCTTAAGGTTGAACACAAAAGCTAAAGAACTCTGTAGGCCTTATAGATATGTATGTATTATACATAAGTATATATGTGTGTGCATTTGCCTTTAAACATAAACAATCTATGAAACATATTTTTAATAACAAATAAAAAATAAAATTTAATTATTGTTTCAATTGATAACGGTTTAGCATTTAATCACCAGCAGACAGTTGACACAATAAACGCAGCCATACATACATACATATGTACACATACATAAATATGCTCACAAGTTCTATTAATGCCCGCATAACGACGATTGTAAAAAATAAATACAAATTATGAGTATATAATTGCAAAACAACGTATATGAATACATATTTATGAATAATATATAAAGATCATTCTTTTAAACAATGTAAGTATGTATAAAGGTGTATGAACTTAGGTTTGTTTTTTTACGATAATAAATCATAAAAATGAATTATTTTAACAAAGACTTCAATAATAAACAGGAATGTGCATAAGCAACTGAAAAAGTAGGTGTATGATCATACAAATATACATATTTTTTATGAACTGCAGTGCGTAGAAAAATAAATAAAATACATAAAAGCGTTCAAGAAGTTTCAACGAATTAAACTTTTTGTTAAGGAAAGTATTTCAAGGCGTTTTGTTTAAAATTTGTTGATAATTGAAAATAGATTATGATATATTAAAATGAAATAGCCTGCCAATTTGACCTACTGTTCTAATTTAAATGACTAAATGATGGACTGAGAGATAAGTTTGTGACTTTAGCTGCAAATCGTGTGCCATTTGGGCCATGATTTTAAAAATAAAATCAGAATTAATAAAATATTTAAATATTAACATTAAAAAAGAAAACCCTTTGGCAATTACAAATAGTGTTATAATCGTAAAGCAACCACATTTTTTTTATTGATTTAATGGAACTAATTTCTTTAAATTAAAATATGTCTTGTTATTAAAATTACAATAAATATTTGTTGACTATAACAATTAAGTTGCAGTAAAAAAACATGTTGCTTAGTTGGCAAGCTGAAAATGCCAAACAGTTTCATTTTATTTTTTGCTGCCGTAGAAATAATTAAGAAATAATAATAAAAAATCTCTTGTAAACAAAACTCAACTAATTAACTTGCACTCAAACTTACCACATCGGTGCCAGCTAGTGGCGTTATGATGCGCATCTCCCAGAAATGCACCATGCCCGTCTTAAGAGGCCGTTCACTGCGCACAATTGCAGTACCTTGACTATAGGTAGGATGAAAAGTGATATCAGCACCTTTGATCAAGGTGTCAGTAGTTTCATTCTGTTCCCAACTCCATTGCAAACCATTCGGTTGACACACTATTTCCTTCGGCGCTTTCTCAACATTAGATTCCTTTGTGACAGTATTTTCTAAATTTTCATTTTTATTTTCCACAACACGTTCACCACAACGACAATTCACTAAATCCGGTATATATCCTTTATAAGTGGCCAGTAAGACACTTTGCGGAAATGCACAATCACAAAAGGGTTCCATGGGTCGCTGTGTAGCGTTTATGTATAGTTGGCGACGATGAGACATTTTCTAATTCTGGAATGTTCGAAATATCTGCGTTTGTTGTAAGCGTGATCTATGAATGGACAAATGTTGGCCAAGAGTTGTAGATATAAAATACACACAAGACGTTTGCATGCGCGCAGTGAGTGATCATTTATGTATGCGTGGAAAATTCCACAAGCAACACTTTGCCGGAGTTGGTCGGTCGAAGTTATGCGTATAGCGCCTACACACAGTAAACTTGTTAGCTATTAGTAATGTAGTGTTTTGCTAATTTATCTAGCTAGCTAGCTTGCGCTCTTCACGAGTTCCGTTGAGCGACTGTGCCAATGCCGGTGAGTTGACTTCGGGTATAACTTTGCGCCTCTTAATATTGATAACACATCTATACACATATATTATCTATGCTTACACTTTGTAAATTGTAAACAGTTTATGTATGCTATTGTTTAAACAAGACGCCAGCTGTTGATTGTTATTCCGAAAGTTTTAAGTGCAAAGATTGGGGGGTGTGGTAAACGCGCTTGGTGTGGAGAATGAAATGTTTATAAACAGCTGTTGGTTATCGATTAGCATATTATGTGCGCACAAGCACAGGGAGGTTAGCGCTTAGCGGTTGCGAACATTATCGATAGTTTCTTTAAATAGAATAAATCAAAGTTTTATTAATCCAAATATTTTATGCCAAATTTTAAATTTTATTTAGTGCTTGCTATGAATTGGTTTTTTATGTAAAGTTTGATAGTATATTCTGAGTAAATAAACGAATTGTACTTTTCGATTCGATAGCATGCTACATTGATTACTGTAATTTGAGTTTCTGTATCCTCACTCGGTTGACAGTTAGTTTTTGCGCCTTTTCAGCTTCCTTCGATGTGTAAAATTGCGATTAATTAAATTATTAAAAGATTTCGCAATAATTAACGAATTAAAATAGATAATATTCCTTTTGCACGGTTTAGTGAACTAATTATAGAGAGTTTGATGTTTTATTTTATAACATAATGTGTTATTAATAAATAAAGTGGCGAAATTATTTGCTGGGAATATCATAAATTGTCCACACAATGCTTGAAAAGCTTTACTTGTCACAAAATATTTTTATAATAGTGTGAAAGATAGTTTTTGCAAGAAATAGTCTGTTTATTTTGGAATGTCAAAAATCGCCTTTAGATCGGGAAATATCATATGAATGTAAGTTGAATTTTTCTTTTTGTCTGTGACATGTAAATTGTATCGTATTCACGGAGAATATTGTGTATTACAGTAAGGGTTGTGAACTTTTAGATACAACAAATTTTGATAACAAATTAGACTTTTACTTCTGATTATGTTATAATAATAAAATTTTTGATTGGAATTTGGGATTAAAATAAATTTTAAAATCTCATTTTGGGATTAGACTGATATTTTAATTTAATTCTATGTGGTTTTTACATATTAATTTTTTTTTATAAATATTAAAAATTGTATTTTCTCCGTTTCTTAATAAAAATTTAAGTCCAAGACGTTTGGAAATAAATAAAGAGAAAATATTATATCGAAAAACTGGAGTTATAGATTTATTTTAAAATAAAATATTGTTCATATTTAAAGCTGTAATGGAAAGGAATTCAAAGATTTACATGCTTTTAATGTTAGCAATATAATTAAAAGATATTAAATATAAATAAGACAAAAAGTACTAAAGGATGCTATAGTTTATTAAAAATAAGTTTTACTTTTCACAAGGTAACCAAAATGGTAAAACACGAAGTACGTAAACGCGTAAAATGTAAATTATATAATTTATTAATTTTAATAATTATAATTAATTTAAAAAAAAATCTTTTTTATTTTCAATCCGTAATTTAAATTTTTAACCCCATTTTTAAGTTAAAAAAGTTTTATTTTAATAAAAATATTTTAAATTTTTGAATAACATTTTTAATTTGTTATTTTAAATAAAAAATAAAAAAAATAATAATTTTTCGTTTCTGAACGGTACAATTTATACCGATAATTAATTATAATTTACCGTTACTCTTTCATAAAAGGCTGTTTATGAGTTTTTATTTTTTTAACTTTTTATTTTTATATGTAAATAACATAAGTATTAAGCATAAATAATAAATATCAAGCATAAATAAACCTTGGATTAAACAAAATATTTTCCAACAAATTATCAGAGCTAATTTTATTAAATAACACTTGCTTCGATTTATGATCGGAAATTTCAGTAGATGTTGTAGGTATCTCCCTATAAACTGGACTCGTGCGCTCCAACATATTATTTTCATGAGGGCTTTCGGTGCCATTTCCTTCCAATACCGCCGGGCTCGGCTTTTTATCAGACTCAATTAAAGCTATAGCTGATATGTCTCTGCTAGTTGCCATGCCATTACTCTTTTCAGGATCGTAATTCTCACTGACCAAGTTTTTACTAAAACAACTTTCACCGTTTGCGCTTTCCCAGCCTACACTCTCCTTATTGCAAAAGTCTTTAAATAAACTTTTCACTTGGCTTTTTGAATTCTTGGCCAAGGCCATTTTTCCACTAACGTACTTTGACTTCAACCTTTTCGTTATTGTTGTGTAATTTTTTGTTTTGAATAACTTATCCTCGTATATAGATCTCAGATAAACGGTGGGTTTTCGCAAATTGTGTACGTTGTTTATTGTTTTATTTTCGCTTGGTATTATATCTGTTATTTTTTTCGATCTAACAATTTTCGTTATTTGCTTAAACTTTTGGTTTTTAAATTGTTTATCTTCATCTATGGATCTATAATATATTTCTATTTCAGCGCCATCTTTTGTGTTAATAACGCGTTTCAGTTTTCTCTTTTGTAGACCTACTCCCTCGTTTGAGTTCTCTATTTCATTTGCTTTCCGTGCTTGTTTATATTCATTGTACTCTATGCCACTTAGTGGGTCTTCGACTCTCCTCAAATTCTGTATTTCAAGCTCTACTATATTGTCCACTCTCCTGTTCATAATCGAATTTTTCGCTACATTTATGAAACAGTCTACTGGTTGTAATGTTTTATAATTATATCCATACTCATTTTCATGTTGTATAACAATATGACCCGGTATTATTTTGGTAATAGTTTTGTCTGGGTCGAAAATGCATTTAAAACTCAGCGATCCCATGTCGTTCATGCTTATGACTAAAGCTAAGAAGCAGCTGATTGAAAATATCACTCTGATAAACTGAAAATGTGGTTGGAAAATATTAGTTGTCTATGCAATTTGAAATAATTCTTTACAAACCTTCATTGAAGCAGTAGTACTGAACTTGGATGTTTTATATATTACTATTAGTTAAACACTGAATTGCAATATGCAAACTATTTATGGTAGTAAACGAAAGTCATGGAGAGCTCATAAAAATTTGCGTAAAATTTCAATTTCAACGATCTTGAACTAGGTTGAGAGAGAGTACATAGGTATTAAATGAAAAAATAGTAAACATTTTTATACACAATATAATTCTCTGATAGTGCAATATCAGAGATATAGTAATGACCGAAATATTGACAGTACCAAAGAGTACAACAAATTTCTTAGCCACAGAATTTTAGCAAAAGCATGTTTCTTATATTTATTTAGGTTTCTTAGTCTTTAACGGTATTCAGCTGCACTCCGTAATAATACATGTATTTATATACTTGTTTATAATTTTCATATTGCTTTGTTCCCTGCAAGTGTTTGTTTTAGCTGAATTGATTAATTTCCATTAAATTACAAGTTTTTAAAAACTAAAACGAATATAAAGTGCAGTATAGTAAATACAGCTCAGCTGAATATGTATATGAATGATTAAAATTTCTTATTTTATATAAACTTGTTGAAAGCACTTTTTTTTAATTAAAATCATATAATTTTAAGTGCGCTGAATTAGTGAAATCCAATTTAAGAGCTCAAAAATGTTCCGTTTATAATTAAAATCAAAAACATTATAATATTACACGCATTATTAGTTAGTTCATCATTTAGAACTCATTGTCTTTGCCGCTTGTATTACACCTTGTCCATTCAGCTCCCTATAAAGTAGCTGAATTGAATAAAAAATAAAACATCTTTATTTAAAATGTTAATTTTCGATTATGCTAAGAGATAAATTTTGTACCATACGCCAAAGAATGGTAATAACGGTCTGCTTGCAATTTTTAGCTAAACAAAGTTTAAGTAGTGTAATAATTACTATTATTTTAATTTAAAATAAAAAATTTATACCAAATATTAGTTAATTTTTTGTTTCAAGCAAATTATGCTTAGAAAATGTAGTTTATTCTAGTTTGCTACACTATCTTGAGCTGAAGGGCTGCAATTATTTTGTTTCAAGCAAATTATGCTTAGAAAATGTAGTTTATTCTAGTTTGCTACACTATCTTGAGCTGAAGAGCTGCAAGATCTTTATTTTTCTTTTTTATTATTTTTTTAGTTTGATATTTAGCTAGCTGAATAGCTTTGAAATGTACCTTTTCAACAAATTAAGTTTATATATGATTTTTCGTTAGCTGAATTAATATTTCTAACAGCTGAATTTCGTGGATATTTTTTAATATGCCATATAATAACATTTTAATATATTACTTTGAATAACTATAAGTTTAAACAATAATTGTTTTAAATATACGCTTGATTTATCAAGTAAAAAATGTTTGAAAATATATATTTTAGCTGAATAATATTTTTATTGCTGTATTGTTTTAAAATTATATATATAATATTTTATTGCCTTTAAAATGGTCATAATTATAATTTATTGTATGTCATTAGTATGCTGAATAGCTCACAATATGGCATAAATATGTACATTTTCGAAATATAAATTTTATGATTGATAAAATTGGTAATGCTCCAGCGAATATTTTCATTATATGAGTAACTACTTTCTGTTAACTTATTTTATTATTTTTTTAGCTGAATTAAATTTAATTGCGGTACAATATATTTAAAATAATTATACATATAACTCATTGTGTGCATTGTGATTGCTGAATGGTTTGATAAAAGTTCATTAATAGAATAATTACTTTTTGTTAATTAATTTTTTAGCTAAATTGCATTGTATTGCAGCTGAATTAAGTTTTATTGCGGTATAATATATTTAAAATAGTCATAACTATAAATTATCGTGTGTATTTAGTTTGCTGAATAGCTTACTATAGTTTAAAAATATACATTTTACAAACACTAATCTTAAAATTGAAAGAATTGGTTATGCTCAAGCGAATATTTTCATTGAATGATTTTTGTTAATCAATTTTTTAGCTGAATTGCATTTTTATGCAGCTAAACTAAGTTTTATTGCAGCTGAATTGCTTTCTTTTGTAACTAAATTGCATTTTTTGCAGCTGAATTGCATTTAAATGCCCAAAGGAGGTGTTGTGTTACTCCACTCCAAAGTACGTATGCTCAGCAAGAGAGTTAAATAGCTTGAAATGCACTTTTACCGAATGGCATTGCTAAGATTACTATATATCAAAGTGACTTCGGTAAGTCATACATACAAA